GAAAGAGGCCTCAATAGCTAAAGATAAAAATAATACAGGTAGGAGCCAGACCTGCATTGGTAGTCTTAGTCACCTTTGGGAAGTAACCCTGGCACTGGATTCAGCCACCAGAGACTTAGAAGTCATCGCATACCCCACCCTGAGCCACACAGGGAATCATCCAACTTCAGCAACCCCGAGATACCCTATAGTAAGCACACTTAAAGCTGGAGCCAGCCATCAGCAACTGAGAAGCAGACACTCCAGTGTGGGCCGCCACATAGGGACCTTTCATTGGTAACCCTCAGTCACCATCAGGAAGCACCCCCAACCCTGAGCTCAGTTACCATCACCTTGGAAGCAGGCTCATGCACCAGTCACAGTCTTGCAGGGCCTTGTCCATAATCATAATGACTAAGGGAACACTATAGCAAGAGTGCAAAACACTCATAAACATTAACTCATCAAAGGAGCACCAAAATATATTAGGTCACTTCATCAACTCAGGAAACAAATATTGGAAAGAACACACATGTGGCAGGAAACTTCAATATCCCACTCAATGAAACCAAAAGATGGTTCTTAGAAAAAACAAACAAAATAGATTAACCTATAGTTAGGCTCACTGTGGGGAAAAAAAAAAGAAAATTCCAAGAAATAGGATCAAAAAACAAAAGTTAGAACAGACACTGCAGAAATTCAGAGGATAATACAAGATTACTATGAAGATTTTTATGCAAAGAGAATTTGGTAGAATTATGCAATCTTCCAGTCACTTTAGAGTAAGGTATTAGAAAACCTGAAAAGCAATGAAACTGAAACAGTAACTAAAAATGCTCCCCCAAAACAAAAAGAGCACTACCAGATGCCTTTCCAAGTAAATTCAACCAAACATTCAAAGATGAACTAATCCCTATCTTTCTCAAAATCTTTAAAAAGGGGCCTCCCTGGTGGCACAGGCAGTTGAGCACCGCACTGTGAAGCGTTCCACGGCCTCTGTAGCATGGGTTCGATCCCCACCAGCCAGCAAGAATCCCACATGGCGCCATAGACTGCTCCTGTCTCGCCCTCTACTCCCCTCAGCAGTGTATTTCGTCAGTCTTCCTGTTCTGCTCCCCTCTCTGTCTCTGGTGAATCTTCTCACCTTCCTGCACATCTGGCCTGTACCCCATTCCTTGTATAAATAAATAAACCTTTAAAAAATATATTTTAGAAAAAAAATCTTAAAAAAAAAAAACTTGAGAAAGAAGGCACACTCCCAAACACATTTAATGAGCCCCCAATTAAGCTAACACCAAAACCATACAAAGAAAAGACACAAACAGAAAACTTCAGACCAATCTTCTTCAAGAACATAGATGCAAAAATTCTCAATAAAATCTTAACAGACCCAATCCACCATGGGACTGAAACAAAAACAGACACACAGACCAATTAAATTCAATTAAAACTTCAGAAATAAATTTACACTTATATGCTCAACTAATCTATGACAAAGTACAGAATAGACAATGGAACTAAGAAAGTCTTTGATAATTGGTGCTGGGAAAATTGGAATGTTGCATGCAAAAGAATGAAACTAGACCACTTCCTCACACCATACACGAAAATCAACTCAAAAATGTATAAAATACATAGACAAAAGACATTAAGCCATTAAAAAAAGATAAACACTCTATACCATAAACTTAAGAAAAATATTTTGAATTTGTCCCAGAAGCAAGAAAACAAAGGAGAAGATAAATAACTGGGACTACATCAAACTGAGAAGCTTCTGTAGAGTGAAAGAGACATTAACCAAAATAAAGAGTCAACCTTCTGAATGGGAGAAAATACTTACAAGCATATAGCTTACAAGGGACGGACTTTTGAGCTCTACAAAGAGATCATACAACTAAACAAAAAGAAATCAATCCAACCAAAAAGTGGGCAAAGGAGCTTAATAGGCACTTTTCTAATGAAGACGTACAAATGGCCAACAGGTACATGAAAAAATATTCATCATCAGTTATCATCAGAGAGAAATGCAAATCAAAACTATAATAAGATAGCATCTCATGCTAGTAAGAATGACATATATTTAAAACAAAACAACACAAAACAAAAAACCCAGAAACAAGTGCTGGTTATAGTGTGGAGTAAAAGGAACACTCTTACACTGTTGGTGGAAATGTAGACTGGTCCAGCCCTATGGAAAGCTGTGTGGAGCTTCCTCAAAAAACTAAGAATGTATCTGCTATACAATCCAGCAAGTCCACTCCTATGTATCTTCCAAAGAACACAAAAAAAGCTAATTCAAAAGGAAACCCATCCTCCTATGTTTATTTCAGCATTGTTTACAATAGCAAGATATGGAAACACCTAAATGCCCAAAACAAGATGAGTGGATCAAGGAAATGTGGTGTATATACCCAATGGAATACTACTCAGTGATCAAAAAAAGATAAACTCATGTCATTTGCAATTACATGAAAGGGGTTATGCTAAGCAAAATAAACCAGAAAGAGAAAGGTAAATACTGCATGGCTCACTTATATGTGGAAGTTAAAGAATCCAAACAAAAGTTCAAACAAAATCAAACTATAAAACTAACCCTTGACAGCTGCCCATAGATCTGATGCATCCAAGAGAAGAGGGAGAAAGGAGGGCTGAGAACATAAAGAGGAGAGCACAGGGGACTATAGTGGAGGTCTGTAGCTATGTTGGTTGAAGGAGAGCTATGGTGACCAAATATATATTGTGAAAATATTAACAAGGACATAACACAGTAGTATTTTTTTAATATATAAATAACAAATTAGAGCAGCAAAATATTGGTAACATATTCACTTCCATTAATGAAAATATCAGTGAGCTTATATTTCTATAAAAAGTTGAAGGGAGTGAGAGATATTAATGAACTGACATAGATTGGAAGAGACTGAGACGTAAAATCTAAATTCAATGTGAGATCCTTAATGAGTCTTGGATAGGACAGTAGTGATAAATCTGGTAAAATTCTAAATAAGTCTGGTTTTTGTAGTATATGGTATTATATCCTAGTTTATTTTCTGGTTTTGATCATTGCTCCCATGGGACTGTCCATTGCAAATTAGATGTTTGGCCATCCTAATTGATCAGTGGAAAATGTTAATTCTGATATGACCACATTTATAATTATTATATATGTTATGACACATGTATAATTGTAACTATTAATATCAAATTATACAACACATTTTACATTGACAACTCATGTCACATTATCAATATTTCCTTACCTTCTCATGTTTTTCTCTCTAATATGCTTGTCTTTTTACTACCCCATTCAACTTCTAAGTATATTTACCTAGATATATACATCTTCATTAAAATTATTGCTTAGGAATAATCTGTTAAGCACATTCATTTTTTACAAAACCTCTTTCATAAAAGAATTACATTTTGCAGTTATATCTAATCAGGATTTCTTTCTTGCTTTCTTTTTAAAGATTTATTTATTTATTTATACAAGCACTGTGTACAGTAGAAGTGCGGGAGGGTGAGAGAATTCACCAGAGCTAGAGCAGGGAACAGAACAGGCAGACTAAAGAAATACATTGCTGAGGAGAGCAGCGGACATGGCAGGAGAGGTTTGTGCACCATGTGGGACCCTTGCTGGTGGCCAGGGATCGAACCGGCACTGCAGAGGCTGGGTGCAGCTTCACAGCCCAGCGCTCAACCGCTGCGCCACCAGGGGAGGCCCTCTTTTTTTTTTTTTAAGATTTATTTATTTATACAAGAACCAGGGTACTGGCTAGATGTGTGGGAGGGTGAGAGGATTCACCAGAGACAGAGTGGGGAACAGAACAGGCAGACTGATGAAATACACTGCTGAAGGGAGCAGCGGGTGAGACAGGAGAGGTTGGCCGTGCCATATGGGATTCTCGCCGGCTGGTGGGGATCAAAACCATGCTTTAGAGGCTGAGGACAGCTTCACAGCACTGCACTCAACTGCCTGCACCACCAGGGAGGCCCCTCTAATCAGGATTTCTTAGAGTTAAAGCAAATAATAACTTTGAGACTATTTCATAAATAATTACAGTGAATATATGAAAAACAAGGACATTGTTAAACTTAAAAATCTTACCAATAATGTTCAGTATGTTACTAGAAGATAAAAATTCATACTCAATATGAAAAAACATTTTAATAAATTCTATAATTTTATAGAATATTGAATATTAAAAATGAATATTACATGACAGACATTTTTATTTCTAAATAAATCTGTTTATTTGTTAACATGCAATATTAAAATTTATTTATTTGTATTTTTCCCAAGTGTACAGCTAAAGGTTTGATGAGAGTTGTAAGAGGAAAATATTCAGGACCCTGGCTTATATTCCATTGAGGCTTTCACTGTGAATGTGGAAGATCAAAAAAATCCCTGGATGTATATATTACCAGAAGAATGAACAGGGATGAACAAGAATCTTAATGAATTTGGTTGAATGAACAAGAATCAACAACCCCTCAATAAGCAGATAATTGTGTTTTTTCCAATTGGTCTTACACTTTATGTAAACTGCAGTCAGAATTCCTATTGCCTATAGCACTATTGAAAGTGAGATCTTCAGAGTGATAGGAAGAATTCTCTGGAAAACCCAAACTTTTACAGAATCATCTGAGCTCTGCCTCCATGAGGTAGAAGATTTACTTCTGTGATGAGAAAATAGATCTGCCATAACTGTGTTAGTAACATCTTCAGTTAGTCACTAGAGAAATAACACTAGAATTTATTAAAGTGTAATAATGAATGTATTCATAAATATTTACTAACAGAATCCTTATAATAACCAAAAGGAGATATCACATTTCCAGAAAAAAGGGTTAAGAGGATTTATGGAGGTAACTTCAGGATGTCATTGAAATTTCACACCTACTTTGGTATAGAAAATTCAACTGTGATCCTTATAAATGAAAACAAGAAACCATAATCAGATGGTGCTTATAAGTTCCAAATAACTGAAAGATAAAATTAATATATTTCACATTTTTCCCTAACTGGAGTCTCTTCCCAGAAACCTTCTAAGAGCCCACTTAAACTCATTGTTTCTCAAGGTGTAGATCAAAGGATTAAGTGAAGGTGTAACTACAGTATAAAAGAGAGTGAAAAATTTACTCTGATTCTGTGTGTACTTGCTCTTTGGTTGGATGTAGACAGAAATTATAGTACCAAAGAACAAAACCACAACAATTAAGTGGGACCCACAGGTCCCAAATGCTTTCCTCCTGCCTTCAGTGGATTTTATCCTCAGCACACTGCAAACAATGCAGCCATAAGACACCAAAATAAGTCCCATAGGCATAACCACATAGATGACAGTAGCCACAGAGAGCTCATTTTGCAGGAGGGTTGTGTCCGCACAGGCAATTTTAATCAGGGCAGGCTCCTCACATGCAAAGTCATCCACCCTGTGATGGCTGCAGAGGGGCAACTGGAAAACAAGGATGGTCTGAAGTGTGGCTTCAGCAAAACCACTGATCCAGGCTAGAGCTGCAAGTTGCCTGAGAAGCTTTGGATGCATGATAACAGTATAGTGGAGGGGTCGACAGATAGCATTAAAGCGATCATAGGCCATAATGGTCAAGAGGACACACTCCGTGGAGCCCAGCCCCAAAGCAATGTAGAACTGAAACACACACCCAGTATAGCTGATGGTCTTGGGGCCCTTGAGATTCCAAAGCATTTGTGGGACAATACTGGTAGTGAAACAGAGGTCCAGGAAGGAGAGATTAGAGAGAAAGAAGTACATGGGTGTGTGGAGTTTGGGGTTCAAGTATGAGATAAGTATGATTGCTGTGTTCCCCATCAGTGTCACAATGTATATGATAGAGATTATCAGAAGTAGAGCCATTTCCAACTGGGGCTGGTCAGAGAAGCCCAGTAGGACAAACCCTGTTGGATTGCTAAAATTTGTGCCTTTCATTGTTTCTTCACTGAGAGTCACCTGTCTTGGTCATTCTTATTTATCCCTGTGGGAAGAAAATCAGGTATCATAACCAATGCAAAAATAATAAACTGAGTAAAACTTAAGTAATTGGACACTGGAATTATAGATGGAAAACAATAAATAAAATAATGCTATATATATGAGAATGTGCAAACATGAAAACAAAATGAATTGAAAGGAAACATATATATGTGTACATATATGTGATAGACATTAGAATCATTTACTAAAACAGATTGGAGAGCTATATCAAACTATCTGAAGATTAAATACATATACCATCAATGTTCACTTAACAATAAAGCAAAGCAATTAAAAATAATATATTGTTCCATATAGAGAAATGTAAATCACTGTAGATACAATATGTAAATTTAAAGATACACCAAAGTGATGGAGAGACTGAGAGAAAATGTTTACAAAATTGGAGAAGGGAAACAAGATTGGTTAGAAATTTCAAACAATTAGCTGTGCTTATCATTAATATTCATTTTTATGAAGCAAATAACTACTGAAATAAGTAACTGAAATACCTACTGAAATAAGTAATTATAAGTACAGAACTGATAATAGAGTTAAAATAAAACTGATCTCTCTGATACATTGGTTCACTCTCTATAAATTTTGATCTCTGGAAAAATTTGCTTTTCACTCTCCAATAAGCAAGTTCTTTCCCCTGGTGCTACCTATTGTCCACATGTTTTAATATACTTTAATTACAAAAATATATAAAAATAATATATGTAAAAATGCCTAATGAAATCCATTAACTTTTTGTAAAGTAAATTATGTATAATTGATGAGTGTAATTTTAACAATTGATTTACAAAGATTATGGTATTTTTTATTTCTGAATGTCCAGTACTAGAGCACTGAAAGACTGTAGAAGGTTGATTATCTGTGGGATTAAAATATAAAGAACTTCCTAAAAGACAAACCAAAACCAAAAATTTCAAATAAAAATATCCTTAAAATACCCTAACCAGAAAATACAAACTTCTAAGAATTTTAGGCCATCGTAACTGATTTTAAGCAATTGTTATACAGTACAGTTTAAAGAGATTAAGTGACTTGTTTTCTTTTTGGCTTCTGTGCTAACAGCATTTTAAAATCTGCAAGACCAAACTATTATGTGTTTTGAGTAAAGGGAAATCCTTCCAGAATTATAACAAAAGAAGTAAACTGATACTGGTGGTACATTGCTTAGTATTTCTCTAACTGGTCAAATATTTTGGAAATAAAATGAAATCCTGAATGCTGTGATGCACCTCAGAATCGACAATGACTTTAACCATTTCCTCTTTTCACAGAAAAAGAAATGTGTTACTGAGAGATTAAATATCTGCTGGAAAAAAGATGAGTGTCCTCATTTTGTTTTATATACACTTCACTGTCATTTTTTTTTTCTGTATTTATAATGTTCTAACAATAGCCAATATTTTCCAAGGAGACTCCACACTGAAACTGCTCTGCCCTTACACAGTCTCATTATTCAATATGAGGAGAAGAGGATTTATGTGTAAAAGAGAAGGTGTTCAATTTAGGGGGTTAAGAATGTTATTGGGTTATAAATGAAAATGTCTTCTGTTAGCTGTCAAAAAAAAAAGAACCAGTTCTGGATTTCCTCAACTTTAAAAATAAATTTTCCTTGTTTTTCTGTAACATGAAAAAGAAAGTCCTACCATCTAGGAAAAGTGACAAAGCAGCTGAAGAGGCTGTAGGTGATTTTTATGCAAAGTTTAATCATACTCACAGTTCCAGAGCAGGAGATTGAAGAACCACATATGAACTGTCTGTAAATTCATTCTGTCATGTAATATCTGAGCTTGAACTCTTCAGATTGGGGGTGTTTGCTTATGCTCTTCACACCTCTGGAGTTCTTACCAGACAGCTTTACTATATTAGATAAGGGGACAGGTCTCTGGAGGGAGAAAGCCACAGAGACTGCTTCTGTTTCTACTAGAAGACAATCGGTTTTATTCCACATTTTAAACATAAACATATGCATGTACACATGTATTTTGCTGTAAAATTATCAACAACAGACACCTTTATGTAATCGTAATAGATGTCACTGCTATATATATCTATTACGGGGTAACAGAAGGGAGGGCAATTAAAATTCCAGGCTTTGAACATTGCAGTTCTAACTATAGTGGACTTTGCAGTCAGTTAAGGTCATTCACCTACTCTATCACATATGCTACTTAAAATGTAAATATTTTTGATAGCTTCTTAAGAGATTTATTATTAAAATTAATTCATTAAGCTGTTCTTATGGGCCAATCTGTTTTGTGTGTGTATATATATATATACACATATATATGTGCATATACATATATCTATATATGCATGCCTGAAGTTGATATACAATTACTGAAGATTCTTGAACTGATATATATAGACTTCTAGGAAATAAGAAACAATGGAGAGGAAGCAAAGTTTGATATCTAATATAAAAAGAACTTCACGAGCTTCTTAAATAATTAAAATAAAACCTTCATATCACAAATAAATTATACTTTACAGAGTTGCTATCATACCTTAAATAGGCAATGGTTTTTATAGCTATCTCTAAAGTAACTATACTTCTGTATGTGTGAAATGATCCACTGAGTTTGCAGTGCCCTGATAAGTGATGTTGAATACTTTTTCATGTGCCTGTAGGCCATTTGTACTTTCTTCTTTGAGAAGTATATTTTTAGCTATTCTGCCCATTTTCTATGGGCTTATTTGTTTTATTGAGTTGTATGAGTTCTTTGTAGATCTTGGATATTAGCCCTTTATTGAATGTATGATGTGCCATTTTGTAGGGTGTTATTTTTTTGAAGATTTATATTTTATTTATACTATAGCTGGGGTACAGGCCAGAGGCGCGGGAGGGTGAGAGGATTCATGAGAGACAGAGTGGGGAGCAGAACAGGCAGACGTACAGAAAGCACTGCTGAGGGGAGCAGTGGGTGAGACAGGAGAGGTCTGCTGTGCCATGTGGGAATCTCCCTGGCTGGCCTGGAATCGAACATGTGCTACAGAGGCTACGGACAGCTTCACAGCACTGTGTCCAACCCGCTGTGCCACCGGGGAGGCCTGGGTGTTATTTTGTTTAAATGATATTTTCATTGTGAGATATCACCTCATTCCAGTGGGAATGGCCCATAAAAAAAAAAAAAAATTCTTGAGGGTGTAGAGAAACAGAAATACTCATGCACTGATGGCGGGAATGTAGATTGGTTCACCCTCTTGGAAAACGGTGTAGATATGTCTCAAAATATTTAAACACTAGATATACCACATTACCAGCAATTCCTTTCCTTGGCACTTATACAAAGACTAAAAAAAAAAAAAAAAAAAAAAGTAAATCAAAGGGATGTGTGCACTCCTTTGTTGATCGTGGCACTATTTATAATAGAGCAAAGTTATGCAAACAACCTAAGTGTCCAATGACAGATGATAGGATTAAGATGTGGTCATATTCAGGCTGGATTACTATTCATTTGTTTTTTAAAAAGACGTACTCTTGTCATGTGTGACAAGATAGATTGAATTGGAGGTGCTTGTGCTCAGTGAAATTAGTCAGAGGGAAAAAGACAAATACCAGATGATTTCACTCATAGGTGAAATACAGACACAAAACAAAGAAATTTACAAAGCTACACAAAAATAAAGCCTAGAAATTTGACAGTAGAATTGAGGCTAACAGAGGGGAGAATAGGAATGGGAACAAGGTGAGGCAAGGCCCCGTGGTATATTACAAAGGGATATGGATGCTCCAGGGGTAAGTGGGGAGTGATGATGTCCTTCAAAGGAGATATGACCCTATTCCCCTGAATCATATACAGTGTGTTTAACCAATGTCACCTCAATAATAAAAAAATTAAAAAAGAAATAATCCCCTGTGTAGGATGTCACTCCCACACAGGCCAATGTTCTATAGGCCTGGGGATGGGGAAAATAATGTCTCCTGCTCACTATCAACCAGTAGGACCAATTTCTTGGTTCCCATGGGCCAAGGGTAATGCACCACTGAGGGCTCATGGAGCAAAACTTCCCCAAGAGTTCCGGGAAAAATACTGCAGACCCAGTGGGCTTAGAAGGCAGGACTGGGGCCATCTGTGACTTGCCTGGAGGGCAGAACATAGGTGATTATTCTGAAGCCTTAAAATCTAATGGAAATCCAGTATTTCTAAGTTTTGGACTTGTCACCTTTCACCTTCTTCTTTCAATTGTGCCCTTTTGGAATTTAAAAAAACCTATCTGGGGCCTCCCTGGTGGCGCAGAGGTTGAGCACTGGGCTGAAAAGCTGCCTGTAGCCTCTGCAGCGTCAGTTTGATCACCAGCCACCGGAGAGGGTCCCACATGGTGCACAGACCTCTCCTGCTGTGCCCGCTGCTCCCCTCAGCAATGTACTTCATCGGTCTACCTGTTCTGCTCCCTGCTCTAGCTCTGGTGAATTCTCTCACCCTCCCATGCTTCTGACTTTACCCAGTACTTGTATAAATAAATCTTAAAAAAAATAACCTATCTTATTCCTGTTTACCGTGAAGCATGTAATGCTTCTCATTTCAGTTTCACAACTGAATTTGCTTCAGGATGAATCACAACTTGAGTCTCACCCATGCCTCATTTTTTTAAAAGTAGATTTTATTTTTGTTAATTTTTGCACAGTATTTGATTTCTCCCATCAGATGTAGTCCCCATAGTTCTCCCAGCACCCATGACCCATCACCATATTCCCTTGTTATTCCCTCCTGTTTTGACTCTTCTCACCCACCTCTCTGTTGAATGCCTGAGATCTATATTCAGCTTGCAGGTTTTCTTTCCCCTAACCCTTTGTTTGGTTTCTCTATATTCAACATATAAGTGAAATCATCTGATATTTTTCTTTTTCTTTGACTTATTTCACTGAGCATAATCCCTTCCAGCTCCATCCGCGTTGCCACAAATGGCATGAGCTTTTCTTGATCGTTCAGTAATCC